CACAAGATTAAATACTTGGGAATAAATTTAACCAGAAGTACAAAGGACCTTTTCCAAGAAAATTACAAAACATTACTACAAGAAACAAAAAGAGATCTTGTTAAGTGATTCTGAGTCACAATTGCAGCTATCCCACAGGACAGAGCGGAAATGCCTCATAGGGTTTCCAAACCTTTTTAGGGAAAAGACGTGCCACAACTTTCTACCTAACGTTTTCTTAGCAGAGGAGCATTTAGCCACTACAGCAGCCTGGTTCTTTATCTCAGCGTTCAACTGGTTAACCCTAAACTTCAGATTAAGCTGCTTTTCTAGCTTAGCCTCCATCGGGGACCGAGTCCTCCTGATCCCACCCCTTCCTAGAACGCAGCCCTGTGATTGGCCACTACGCGTCCTCGAGCCGCCCAATTGCGCAGGAGCAGTTGCTTCTAGTGGTATGGGTTTTTTTGAGCGGGGAGAAACATGGCGGATCGCCTCACGCAGCTCCAAGACGCTGTCAACTCGGTGAGGAATTTCTTTCGATTATGCTAGCTTTTGAAAATTTCTAAATACTTCCTGGGCAAAGAAAGAAGGCCCCAGAGACAAAACTCGGGAGCAGAAAACGGACTGGGTGTTGAGATTTCAGCAAAAACTGCTTGAGGCATATGGAAGTCCCGCTTGTGGTCAGGGAGGTGTGAGGCCGGCCGCGGGGACGGGCGGAGAGATGCGGGGCGGAGCGCTCTTCAGCTGGAGATGAGGAGAGGGCGTGAAGGCTCACGTTTCTCCATGAGCCCTAGACGTCGCTGTCCTGTCCTCCTTGAGATGTATCTTATTTTCTTCTTGGTGGTGTTTGTAGGCTCTCTTCTTTTGAAAATAGGAATGGGGAAGGGGAGATACTGAAGCCGGTGTTTCCCCCCCTTCTCGTTTCTAACTCATGGAGTCAAGCCATCATTTGCCATCGCAGCTGATGATTCGATCTCTCATTAAAAGTCAGCCGAGAGGATTTCTTGGCAGCCAACTGTCAGGTTAGGGATGGGGGGCGGGGCAAGGGGTTGAAAGTAAGAGCTTCGTGTGTTTTTTTCCCTAGCTTTGTAAAAGGTTTTTTCCAAAATTCCTTTGGCCAGAATAGAGAACTCTCCTCGGTTCAAACTCATCGCGGTCTTGTCGGAACCGGTTCCTAGCTGACCTTGTAGCTGGTTTTTAGAGACTGTTTAATCGCATCGCCTGTCTCCAGCAGCGTCACTGGTGCTTTTGAGCCGAGGGAGGGTTTACAGCGCGACCCTGACCGGCCTGGGGTGAGACGACCGAGCCAGTAAGGGCTGGACGTCAAGCCCAGGATGGCTGCGTGTTACTGATTTGAAGATCTCAACACAAAAGCAGAATGAGCTGTTCCATGAACTGTTGGAGACAAGAAAGTAGAGTGTTTTGTTTTGTTTTTTTCTTGAGAGATATAAGATAATTTGCAAATTGGGAACAAATAGGGCCCAGAAGATACTGAATCTAGTAAAAGATTCAGTGATTAGTGATTTGTTGACGCCTCATCTGATTGGTAGGAAATTGTAGACACCGTTCAAAATTATTTTTAAAAAAATTACAAAGGAAGAGCAATAAAATTGGTACATATAAACAGCCCAAGGGACTTTCAGACTTCAACCCCCACTACGCTGAGACCAGAAAAACTAGGTGATACGCCTCTCCCATGAATGACTGCCCTAAAGGAGATTACAGCAGAGAATCTGGACAGGAGGAAAAAAATGTGAAACAAAGCTCAAAATCACAAAAATGACCAGGCTTTCTGCTCTGATAGAGTCTAGTAGAACAGTCATTCAACCTTCAGGCAAATATGCATACTTAGAGGGTGAACAGTGACATCAAACAGGTACTCACTTCTTGGAACCATTAGTCATTCAATACCAAAAAGACAGGAAGAAAGGAGAGAAAACTCAGAAGACTGGAAGAAGTAGGATAGAAGGATGAATGGAGTCAAAGGAACTGGGAAGAGGGCTGTTAAAATGTGGTGCAATAATAAATACCACAGAGCAAAATCTATAGGAATGATTGGATAGAAAGCAGATTGTTCTATAAGCTTTAGCTCAAGCACAGTATATCAGACCTAAGGGTCTTGAGTCCCTCTTGATGGCAGAAGACACCAACTACTGCCATCCAGTATGTTCTGACAGCAACCCCTCCAACCCATTATTGAGGCTGTATATCTTTATGGGAGAAGTCAGTCTATTAATTTTCGGTCTGACCGAACCACTGACCTTTCAGTTAGCAGCCAGTAGGCCAAAAACACTATGCTACTAGAACTCCAGGCTCGCAAGGAATGCATGCTTAATATTAAAGCTTATTTTTAAGTATCTGAAAATTATTTTGGTCTTGGCTTTTTAAGCACTACACACCTGATAATTGTCTTTTAAGATTATTTACCAAGGAGGGTTTTTCAGAGTACAGTGCATTTAAACAGAATGGCCACATTACTGATGCGGAATTTACTTTTGATTAAAAATAGATTTTGAGCCTCAGATCTTAACATAGACCCCTCCCCCCATCTCATTAAATAAACTATGGCTAATACTGAGAAAAATGAGAATCCAAGAATACTTAATTATATACCTAGACTAAGTAGCTATTTTTTTTAAATTTTATTTTATTTCATTTGTGTGTGTGTGTACTGTCAAATCAGATCTGACTGTTACAGGAGGAGATTGTTCCTCCTCCAGCAGAGCATCTGGTGGATTCGAACCATGTACCTCTGAGATTGCAATGCAGCTTCTTGCCACTAGGCCACCAGAGCTTGCCAAGAAGCTGTTTTCTAAACAGAGCAAGGGAACACTGCATGGTCTAAAGTTGGGAAAGGTGTGTGTCAAGGCTGTATCCTTTCTCTGTACCTGTTCAGTGTGTAGAGTGAGCAAATCGTTTGAGAGGCTGGGCTGTATGAAGAAGAATAGCATCAAGATTGGAGAAAGGCTCATCAACAACTTGTGTAGTGAGGGTGACACAAAGTGAAGAGGATTTGGGTGACACAACTTTGCTGAAGGTGAAGAGGACTTGAAATGCTTGCTGAGGAAGATCAAAGACTACAGCTTTCAGTATGGGTTGCATCTCAACATCAAGACAACAATTCTTACCACTGGACCAATAAACATCGTGCTAGATGGAAAAAAGATTGAAATTGCCAATGATTACATCTTATTGATCCACCATCAATCCTTGGTACAAGCAGTCAGGAGATTGGGAGACATTTTGCATTGGACAAGTCCACTGCCAGGGAACTCTCCAAATTACTGAGGAGCAATGATGTCAATTTGAAGACCAAGGTGCACCTGATTCAAGCCAGGGTCTTTTCAGTCATTTGCTCTACATCTGAGAGCTGGACAGTGAATAAAGATGACAGAAGAATTGATGTCTTTAAATTGTGATGTTGGAGATAAGTACTGAATACCCCATGGACTAACAAAAGAACAAACAGGTCTTTGGAAAATGCAGCCAGAATGCTCCTTGGGGGCAAAGATGGCAAAGCTTCTTCCAACCTCCTTGGAAAAGGACATCATGCTTGGAAGCTTGGAAAGGGTGGGTCAGCAATACAGAAGATCATCTTCAATGAGATGACTTGACACAGTGTGTCCAGCAGTGAATGGGTTCAAGTGTGTCAGAGATGATGAAGATGTTGAAGGATAGGACAGTAGGACAAAGGTCTTTGTTCATAGGGTCATTATGAGTCATACTTAACTCCAGGACTCCTAACAACTTAGTCAAAGTTTAAAAGCATTTTCCTCAATTATAAATATAGAACTAACACAAAGTTCACAGTAGAAACAGGTAATGCCATTTTAAGGTCATGAAGATTAACCTTTCTGAAGATTTTAATTTACATAGAAAGTAGACTTGGAAAAAGAAAAATTATAACGTAAAACCTCTGGAGTAGGGAAAGCCCCTTGGTAAAGAGAAGTACATCTTTTTAATGTGAAATAGTATTTGTAGAGAAAGATGTGCAGTTGAATGAACAATTACAAAGTGAATGCCTTTGAAATGTGAAGCATTAATGAGGTCAAGAAGTAGCATCCCCCCCCCAAAAAAAGAAGTAGCATCCCAGAAATGTTTCTTTCCTCTCTACATCTCAGTACTGCCTTGAGCTTTGTGATAATTGGGGTTTTTTCCCCCCTATACATAAGACTCATGTATTCATCTGAAAACTAATTTTTGTCCCTGAAGTTCATATGTATTAAGTGTATTTTTTGTTTGACTTTTCTGGATCAACATTTTGTGATTTATCTATGTAACATATTGTTATGTATTGCCAAGTCAGAACCGAATCATAGTTGACCATACAGCGAGTTTTCAGAGGCAGTTGGCAGCACAGCTCCTTACCACTGCGCCACCAGAGGTCCCTTTTACATATTTTATATAGTAGTGTGGTGTTCACTTCAATTTTGTGTGTGTGTTTGGCGTTCACTTTAATAGTACTTTAATTTTCAGTATCTTTTCAGATGATTATTGACTGAGTTGGATGATTTCCTATTCAAATGGCTGTTAAGTCCTTTGTCCATTTCCCCCCCCCCAGTCTGTTAATTGTCTTTTTATTAATCCATTCTCCATTTTCATTGTGGTTTAGGTGAAAGGTTACAGAGCACATTTTCTGTTCTACAGGGTTTACACAATTTTTCATCCTTCTGGTTATTGGGGGTTTTTTTCTTTCTGTTTACTGTATCTTAGTAGAAAGTATGTGCAGTCTAAAGGGTGCACATACTTTTTCTTTCTTACTTTTCTCTTAGTGTTAATCTTGTTAATACTAGGTTTTGTATGCTTAAAGAGTTAAATCTTTTCTTTAAAAACTGATTTGTGTGTGAATAAAATGAGTTTTTAAGGTTCGGAGGGTTAATCTCTAAATTTTAATGAATTCACCAAGATAAATAAATGTTCCTTTACAGTGACATGTCTAGGCTGCCTGCCAGTCTCCCTCAGAGGGATACTCTTTTGAGGTTTTAGAAAATCAAGCTAATGATGCTGTTGGAGAGAAATACTATTTTAGGGATATTTTTCCTAGCCATACATTTTGTGTTAACCAGTAGAATAAGGACAAATTGAAGACAAAGTTCACTCCAGTATCAGGAGGATGATAATGGGATTTTGGAGAAAAGCATCCAAGTTAGTTTAATTAGCATGAGTGCATATATGCAGCATTATGTTTACAGAGAAATGCCCCTCAAGGAATTCAAAAGTCTAATTAGAAATATGCAGGAGACATTTAAATAATGTATAAACAGTATATGGTTAGGGAGTTGTAATCAATCCATTGCTTTCATCTGTTAAATGCTGAAGGATATTGGAATATAGAGTTACATGACCCAAAATATAGGGACTCTTTTTAGCATTTATTCCAACTTTGATTAATTATTTGTATAATTATTAACTTTCCCCAACCCTTCTAGCCTAAAAACTCCAAGAAAGCAGGAGCTATGTCTCTTTATTGTATCTGTAGGATATGTGTGGTGGTGGTAAATGCCTTTGAATTGACTTTGATTCATAGCAACTCTTTGTACAATACAAAATATTACCCAATCCTGTGCTGTCCTCATAATGATTGCTATGTTTAAGCCTGTTGTTCAGCCATCATGTTAGTCCATCTTGTTGGTAGTCTTTCTCTTCTTCCTGTACTCTCTCCTTTTCCAAACCTGATGTCCTTTTCCAAAGACTTTAAAGACTAAGTTGTGCCTGATGAAGTAATGGGATTTTCAGTTAAATCTTACACAACTGAAAGTTGACATTGAATAAAGATGACAGAAGAAGAATCAGTGCCTTTGAATTGTGGTGTTAAAGATAACTATTGCATATCCCTTGGACTATCAAAAGAACAAACAAGTTAATCTTGGAGGAAGTGTAACCAGGTTTCTCTGTCGTAGACTGGTGTGTAAAACTTCATCTTATGCACTTTGAGCATGTTGGGAAAGGTGGAGGATCATTTTGAAAGATCAGGACTAGGATTAGCAAGAGAGTTATTATGGCCATTGTTGTTAGGTGCCATTGGGTTGAACACAACATATAGTGAGTGACCCTATGAACAACTCATAGTGACCCTGTGAAGAACAGATCTAAACCTTACTCTGTCATGTGCCATCCCCAAGAGGTTTTCTTTAAAAGCCCATTGTTGTAATAACTGTCAGTCAGTCCATCTTCTTGAGGGTCTTACTCTCTTTCAGTGACAACCTACCTTTCTCAGCAGATGTCTTTTTCCAAGGACTGGTCTGCCTGCCCAAAGTATATGAGATAAATTTTTTTGCTTCTCTTCAGCACCTTGGTGCACTTCCTTCAGCTTGTTTGTTTATTGGCAGTCCATAAGATATTCAGTACTTTTCTCCAATATAATTCAAAGTCATGATTTTTCTTCTGTTATCCTTGATTCATTGTCCAACTTTCAGATGCATAGGAAGCAATTGAAAATAATACAGCTTCTTGGAAAAAGTTTTTGATGCACACAGGGATTTAATCTTGAGAAGGTCCCGTTCATCAATTTTATCCTCTTCAGATTGTGCATTTCTGGCTGTATTTGGCAATCTTTTTTATTAATATTGAAGCCACATTTAGATTTTGCTGGCCAAATTCTCTTTCCCCTCACCTTACAGAAAAACAAGGACTCATTTTAACTTTCCATTTTACCTGTTCAACTAAACTGAGATCTGTAACTCATTTTGAGAATTTTAATGGAGAGGTTTTTGTTGAGTTTCTGTTTTTTTGTGTTGGGTTTTTTTTTGTTTGTTTGTTTGTTTTTTTAACTACCTCTCCAAAGTACGGAAGAGCAGTGGTGTGTCTCTCTAGAGACTAAGGTGCATCTGACACAGGCCATAGTCTTTGCTATCACTTGTTATACATCAGAGAGTTGGACAGTGACTAAGGAGGATAGAAGGAGAATTGATGCCTTTGCGCTATGGTGCTGGAGAAGAGTATTCAGAGTACCATGGACTGTTAGGAAAACAAACAGATTCATCCGGAAAGGGTTAAAACTGGGCTGCTCCTTGGAGGCAAGGATTCTGAGGCTCTGTCTAACATACTTTGGACATGTTGTAAGGAGGGACCGGTCCTTGGAGAGGGACATCATGCTTGGGAGGGTGGAGGGACAGCGCAGGAAGGGGAAGGCCCTCTATGAGGTGGATTGATTCAGTGACTGGGGTAATCGGGATGGGTGTGTCAGAGGCAGTGCGATTGGCACAGGACAGAGCAGGGTTTAGGGCTGTTGTACATAGGGTCGCTATGAGTCGCAAGCAACTTGATGGCACATAACAACCTCAGCTAAATTAATATAAAATTTAACTATCTAGATTGATTCTAGGGACATGTAGTGGCATAGTGGATACCAAGTTGTGCTTGCAACTCAGTGGTGGGCAGTTTGAAGCCAGTATCTGTTCTGCGGGGGAGAAAATGGGCAGTCTCCTGCTGTGTGTTTTACAGTCTGAAAATCTGCCCTAGTTGTTTCTGACTGAACAGCATTGACTTGAGTTTTTGTTGACATTAATGCCAACTTTAATTTCTTTGCAATATTAGGACATGTCATTATTGTTAATGATAATTGGTGTTTTTTTAATTGGAAGCTCCTTTCTGATTTCATTCTTTGTTCAGAGATAGTTATTATAGAATTATTGTTCTCATTGTCAAGGAAATCCTAAAAAATTGATAAATTCATTCTAATTTTGATGTGTTTCCTTTGGCCTCAAGCTTGCAGATCAGTTTTGTAATGCCATTGGAGTGTTGCAGCAATGTGGTCCACCTGCCTCTTTTAGTAATATTCAGACGACAATCAACAAAGATCAACCAGCTAATCCTACAGAAGGTAAATAAATTGTGGTATTTTGGGGAATTGCAGGACTTTTCTGACTCATATTTCTCATAATACTTTAAGATAAAATTATAAGAAATTACACCTATTATGATTTTCTTTTAAAAATGTTATTGTTTGAGAATATTACTGCATGTTTTATTTGTCATGAAAGAAATAAACTTGCATAACAATTCCTAACTCCCTGTTGCTCATTAAGGAGGAGAATTTGTAGAATTCAGCCAAATTAACTTTGTTGTTGTTATTTTTGTTTTGTGGGTCCTTAATAAGGAAAACATCCCCATGCTTTTTAAGTCAGGTCCTGGCTCATAGGACAAAGTAGATTACCCTGTACACTTTACAAAGCTGTAAATTGTTACAGGAACAGATTCCCATGTCTTTCTTCTTGGAGCTGCCAGTAGATTTAACCATTAAACTTTTGGTTAACAAGCACTATAACCACAGCACCACTGGGGAGCCTGTTAGTAAAGAGGACACTCCATTTATAACTGTAGTCAAGTATTAATAAAATAGTGTTTAATTTTCATTTCAGTTATTTTTAAGATTAATTCTTTTTTATACATTTTATACATATAATAGAGTTGGTGTGGTAACCTTAATTTTAAATATCAGAAACTTGGTACAGAAAATATTACATGACATTTTCTCTGTCAGTAATCTAAAATTTAATTTTGATTTCTGAAACCTATTTTCCAATATTCTCTTTGAATTCTGTCTCTCTCATATAGAATATGCACAGCTTTTTGCAGCACTTATTGCACGAACAGCAAAAGACATAGATGTTTTGATAGATTCCTTACCCAGTGAAGAATCTACAGCTGCTCTACAGG